CATTCCCCCCAGACCGACTTCTCACAGTCACACCTGGTTAGTCTTTTCAAACAGTCCTCCGTCGCTCCTGTCCTCCTCCTCCTCCTCCTCCTCCTCCTCCTCCTCCTCCTCAGACACATGTTTAAATGAGACTCCAGCGACTGAGTGTAGGAGTCCGAGTGGCCAGTCTGGCATGCTGCCATGACTCCAGTGGAAAGCACATCATAGCCGAAGTCACAAATCCGCACAAGCTTAGAGGACTGGCTGGGTAGAAGAAATGTCTTTTCAGAACACGGCCCACATACAGCAAAGCCACATTTGCGGCAGTGATGGTGACAATTAACAGGTGTGAATTTTGCTTTCTGACAGTGCATACACACAGTGACTTCCGAGTCAGGCACACAAACAGCAGCATGCTCATTAGCGGGTGTCTTTCCGCTTTTGGAGAGCAAATCAGTGACACATTTATTTATGTGGTTCATCCATTCTGATTTCTCAGTGGCATTGGCATCATAGACCAATCATTTGCAGATTTGGTTGGTGTCTTAATAAGCCATCCATTCCTTAAATCGTCCTCATCTTTGATGGAATCAATAGTAATATTTTCCAAAGGAATGATAGGCTGAACCCTGGATGACAACATTGCCATATACAAAATATCATTAAATAAGAAAAACTACCTTGCTTTAGGCATCTTTCTGCACAATTTTGTCAAGACTCTTCCAATAAGAATTAGTCCAGGTATAGTTAAGGGTTGGCCAGCTGCTCCAAAACTGTTTTCCTCTATACCTATATGTCTAGTGCTTGGTTCACTGTTGGCTAAGCAGTCCACCATCTTTTGCTAATAGCTCCATCAATAAGAATAGACAAGTTTTCTTTGCCCCTTTCCACTAGAATTTCTGCCACTGTGACAAACCAGTCACTGTATGCACCGGCCAGGTGTGGGCAGTGGCGGGGGCACTGAGGGTCCGACTCCTCTTTCTCGTGGATGCCTGGTGTGGGTTCAGCCTATCAGCCGCCTGGCCTCGAAGAGTATGTGTGGCCTGTAGCCCCTCGCAGCCTGTGTGCGAGATCCGGACACAGTGGGCAGCAACTCCAAAAGTTGTTTTTGATCTGATTTCCTCCATAGCCTGATGCTGTTGTTTCTTTGCTTCCATTGCTATCATCTCAAAAACTTCAAGTTTGTGCCTTCCAGTTTCTTCCATGACCTTGCCTCCTGGACTTGTTTTGGGTGGGCTAGAGGTCTAAGATTGCCTTTTGTTCCTTCCTTTTGTCATTTTTTGAAGTCCTAATGTTCTCTCTTAGCCTTCAGTGATGGTAGGTGGGTGGGGTATGGAGTAGCAAAGCTCTCAGGAGAGTGGCAGGGCAGGCTCACCAAAGCTCCTGCTGTGTGGGGTTCAATGTGGGCTGCAACTCACTGAGGAGAGGAGAGCAAGCCACAGCTCAAGAAGGATCCGATAGGATGAGTGCAGGTCGAATTTCTGCAAGGTTTTCTCAATGCTGTGTTGGCACAGGGTAGGGCTTCCCAAGGCTTGTGCATATCCCTGTGGTAGTCAGGACATCCTGGCAGTTTTCAGTGCAAGAACAAGTGGTCTCAGCTCAACAGAACTCTGGCATTACTGCTGTAGTTGAGCTATGGAAAGATCCTGTCACTATGAACCATGCTTCGTGTTGTTTGGTGAGGCCTGTTGGGGATCTGGATGAGAGGGCTCCATCGGAATGGCTGACATACACCTCAGCCCTATAATTTGGTTGCTTTAAGATAAGGACTCCAAGTTGCTCAGCCTGGCCTTGACATTGGGAACATGTGTGTCTTAGCATCTTGGTTATCTGTGGTCACAGGCCTGTGAAAGTGCACCAGGCTGTTTGTTTTGTATAGTAGTGATTCTCCTAGTGGTGCGGTGACTGATCCCATTTTGCAAGCCCTTCAGTCTAAACTGCAGAGAGCAGATAGCACCAAGCAAGTATCTGGGATTTTGACAACAGCTGTGAGGAAGAGCATTCTGAGGGTCAATTTTAATCATAGCAATTTCCCCGGGCTTGGACCATGACTCCATGTGACTCAGTGGTCACCACCACTGTGGCCACATCAGAATTCTCTGCAGCCTAGCCCCTGTGCCACCAAGATACCTCCCACTGGCTTGCTGAGTCTCAGCTCTTTGGTTTCCTGCTTTGCCTGATGATCCTACCATGTGGTATGGAACAGGACCCCTGGGTGCTCTGCTGGGGCCACACTCCCCAGGGAGATGCCTCACTATGACTTCCTGCCAAGGCTCAGAGCCAACCTGAGCTCCTGGTTTTCTGGAACTCAGGTGGATTTCTGAGTCCTTGGAACCTGGGAGATCTCTTCCTCTGACAGGAATTTAATGAGATACTGTTTATCTAAAGAGAAATACACAGGTCCTGGCTGGCTGCATGATCTTTGCAAATGTAAAAGCTCGTGGGACGCCATTCCCACCAGGATCAGAATATCTACAGCCTGCACGAGACTCCTTTGGCATAGATGCCAAAGTTTCTGTGGTGAATTCACGGCTGTTTCAAGGTTAGGGTGTGATGACAAGTTCCTCTGAAGAGCTGTGCATGTTTTCTTTTCTCTGGGCTTGAGAGTAAAGACTAGAATTGCCAGACAGAGAAGATACAGCACTTACTGTACATGACAAGCACTTCTAAATTGAACATTCTTTTCATTTTTTCTTCTGTTTCCTTTTTGTTTTTAACAAATAGGCGCTCATCATGTTGCTCAGGCTGGTCTGAAATGCGTAGTTCCATGTAATTCTCCTGCCCCAGTAACTAGATACACAGGACTGCAGGCAAGCGCCACCAGCCCTGATTCTGAGATGTGTTACTGGCCATTCTGCCATCAATCAACGCGTGATTCCTTTCTTCCAAATTCCAAGCAATTGGCAGTTGCTGGCAGGTTATGACCTACCCTGGTGCCTGTGCTTCCACAGAGGATTTTAAAGGATTCTCCTTCCTTTCCCTCTTTGCATTCCAGCTGAATGCCCTGCTCCTTCAAATCAGCCAAATTCCTGTTGAACCAGGAACACAATGGGGGTGGAGGGTGGAGAGCGCTCAGTGGCCTCAGCTTGGGCAAAGGTACAAGAAGCTGGTCTCTGCAAATCGTAGTGCATTTATGCAGAGAGCAAGAAGAAAGGCGGTGAACACATGTGGATGGCGCAGGAAACTTTGTTCCTCTATTGGGTAGAAGACGCTTGCTTTAGTCCCTTAATTAGAATAACCCTAGAATGCTACAGAGCAGATCATTAGGAATAGAAGTTGATGTGTTCCTGTTCTGGAGGCTGGGAAGTCCAACACCCAGGTGTTAGCACTTAGCCAGGGGTTCCCTGAAGGATCAACCATGGAGGAAGGTGCCAGGAAGAAGGGCCAGTGGGGAAAAAGTGAGAGCAAGAGCTCTTCCTTGAGGCTCCTGCCCCACTGTGATGGGCATGAACACAATAGAAGAGTTCTGGAGAGACCTGCACCTCCCCTCCAACCACACACCTCACACTGGTGCAAGGGGACTAATTCAGCTCCCCGTGCACTTCGAGGGCATAGCAACACTGCACTGTTCCTTCCTAACTTGTGACGGGGCCTTCTAGGTTTCATGCACCACAGACCTGAATGACTAACCTCAGGTGAGCTGAATTGTCACGCCTCCACTTTCAGCATCACCCTCTGTTACTCTTGTTCATGAAATCCCTTAGAATGAGCTAAAGGCTGTCACAGACAACTTCTCTAATGTTCCTTCCCATCTCCTCCATGTCAAATGCAGTGTCCACAGGTTCTCCCTCCATCCTAGCACTCAGGGAGAAGGAAAGTAATGGAAGGAAGGAAAAGTTATAGAGTGGAATGAGAAGATCCCGGGCCCTCTTTCCTACAGAATGAAAATCCAAAGTAAGGAGGTTTTTTGAAATCTCTTCTCTAAAAATCATGGTTTCCAGTGAGGGATAGAAATTGAAAAAGAGGAATTCTTTGTGTGAGATCGTGGCTATTCTGAAGCAGTTCAAGTAGTCGTGATAGGCTTTACCACATGGCGTGTACCCTTTTCACTCTCTGAGCCTCAGTTTCGCTGTGCTCTACCCAGGGCAGAAGCATCTTCCTGACCACAGCCTCTGCACAGAGCACCATGTAATGCACCCTGGAAGGGCGGTTGCTTAGGAAGCACAGCACACACTTCAGGGCAGTGCTGTGTACAAACTGGGAGACATGTCACTTTGTGATTTTATGACCTAAAGGGGATTTGGTCTCTGGTTGGAGTGGAGAGGGTGAGAGTAGAAAAGGTCACAGCCCTGGGGATGCAGACATCCCTGGCCCTGAGCCCCACCCCAGCCCCAGGCAGGCCCTTCCCTTTATCTCTCTCCAGATCCACTTCTGTGCTCCTGGCCCCTCCCTCTTGAGCAGCTGCCAACTTGTGCTGCTGTCTGTTTCCTTTAAAAGTCCAGCTCTTTGCATTGATGCCTCAGTTGGTGTGAAAGGTGACAGGTGACACAGAAGCCTCGAAAAGATGAGTGCTCAGGCAAGCCAATCTGGTCCGGTGAGTTGTGGGCTGGCTCAGCCTGAGCTGGCTGCAAGTCAGGAGGGTCCCTGGGAAATGAGCAGTGGGAGGGACTCCTGCTGGGGGAATGAGAAAGAGCCAGAGGAGGGTGGGTGTGCCCAGGAGGTCAGCTGAAGGCAGCTTGCTCTTTTCCAAGGCAGCCTCATTCAGGGCAGCTTCTTGGGCCTAAGGAAGACAACCACATTCAGGTATCTGGTGTCCAGTTAGTGACCCTGCATTGAATGCCTGCTCCATCCCAGGTGTGCATGGAATACAAGCCTAGGAGCATCTGCATAGGTGGCAGTTTGTGTATAGGGGATAAGGACAGGCTTCTGGGAGGACTATAGTCCACAGGAATGGTACTCAATTCACCACACCTGGAGAGGGCCTCTGAGACTCAACCACAAACTGGCTGGATGACGCCAGTCAGGGCACATATATCGTCAGTGGACTTTGGGCATGGGGAAAAGGATGCCATTTGGGCTGCAGTGCCTTGTTTGCACCTTGGTGTCTCAGAAAGGCAGGTGATGGGATCCAGGGACATAGCAGGAGGATTCAGAGAGATTGCTATGGGAACCAAGGTTACCAGGAGAAACTCTGGGCTGAGGCATCTCAACTCCATCAGTTTTCAGGGTCTCTCCCCATGAGACTTGCATGTTTGTACGTGCTCATAACACTCCTACGTTAAAGTCTCCATGTCTTTTTCACAGGCTCCTGAAGCAAAATCCAAATTCTATATAAGTGATGTGTTTGTGGCAATTGGAGATTTCTTTTCTTATGGCGGGGTGGGTCGTGAGTGGCAGCTGTTGCTGACCCTCTGAGTTGCATAATTTAAAAGTCAAATCCATGAAGCTGAAATTTAAGAAATACTCATGAAAATTAGAGTAATTTTGAAAGGACCTTTCAGCTTTCAAATAGTCCCTTGAGTGTGAGCTAAATGTATGGCCTTCCCTTGTCAGCCCGGAGTGCTTCAGGGTCCACCCAGGGTTCCTTCAATACCAGTGAAGGCCCTTTGCTTGGGGCAAACTGGGAGGCTTTCCCTTGTTGTTTCTCTTGTTGTTTAAGGAGCCAAGTAAAGTTCTTCTGGCTTCCTTGGGAATTCGTACCACTGCCAGTCATGGCAACAAGCAGCTGATGTCCAAGGCCATGACAATCTGCACAGCATTGCCCTCTGCTGTGCTGCCCTCTGCTGTCACTGCCTGACCTGTCCCCATCCTCCCAACAGCCGATGCCATATGTAGCCTCCATCCCAGGGGGCCTGCAGCTATCCAAGGTCATCACTGTGTCAGGCACTGTGCTGCCCAATGCTGAGAGGTAAGACAGGCCTCCAGGGCTTTCTGGATTCTGGAAATAAGGGGTAGAGGATGGGGCTAACAGTAGGGGGCAGAGAGAGACCTCATGAATTGTCCTCCCCAGGTTCCATATCAACCTGTGCGCTGACACAAACATCGCCTTTCATCTGAACCCTTGATTTGGTTCGAACACTGTGGTCCGAAACTCTAAGATCAAGGGCTCCTGGGGATCAGAGGAGAAAAGCCTGTCTGTCAAGATGCCCTTCATCCGAGGCCACAGCTTCAAGGTAAGATGCTGCAGCCTGAACTTGTGAGTTATTATCAGGTTATGAGGAGTGACCTCCAAGGAAAGCGTAGTATCTGGTCTTCATAGATAGGCAAACAAAACCACAGGACAAGTAGCTTCCCAAAGGTCACATACCCATTAGTGCCACATGGAATTCAAGAAATATTCATCGTGTGTTTGTGCATTCACTCAGCAGTCATTTGTCAGCTATCTGACTGGGATCCCTTTGTGCAGGGAGTACTCATGCTCAGGAATGCAGCCAGGAAGCAGAGAGAGCAGGGTCTATCCACGGGGCTGCAGTCCAGCTGGGGAGGAGCCAGAAGAGCAAGGCAGGAGCCTATCAGCACCCATCGAGGACTCTGGGGAGCCCCCCAGCTCAGGGTCCATTGTGCAGAGGAGGGAGGGCCTGTCCATAGCTGCAATGTGAGGTGGAAACTGAGGCTGAGGGAGTCATGGGTGTGATCTAAGGCCTGATCTCCCTGCCTACACGTTCACATCACACACAGACTGAGGCAGTGCCCTCCACCTGAGTGTGATTGAAGTGTGACCGTTATTCTTCTTACCCTGAGTGCGTCCTTGAGAATGACCTGGAAAGGACACACCAGGAGGCTATGGCTGCTGCTGATGCACAGTCCAAGAAAGGACATGGGTCAAAGATGGCAAAAGCCATCCCTGCTCACCCTGGTGTCCTGAGGAGGCAGTTGGTCCCCAGGGAGGTGTAGAGGGGAGTTGAGGAAGGCCTGGAAGATGACCTGAGTCCTGAGGTGGCTTCCATTCGTGCAGGGGGCAGAGACGCAGGCTTGGGGAAGAATTGAGGGCGCAGAACCTCATAAGCTGAATTTCTGTGTTAGGAGAGCACAGGGCAATTCGGGAGAAGCAGATCTTTTTCAGTGTGGGTCAGTTGCAGATTTGGGAGGAGAATAGAGGTGACAAGGAGGGGCCCTGAGTCTTCAGGAAGGCTGACGACTTTCTGCATGGAGTGTAAATAGCAAGGTCTCTCTTCCCAGGTGGAGATCATATGCGAAGCCCAGTGCTTCAGGGTGACTGTGGACGGCCAGCACCTGCTGGCATACACCCACCGCATTAAGAACCTGCCATCCATCAGTCACCTGGAAGTGCATGGTGACATTATGCTTACAGATGTGCAGATCTAGGTGGATGAAAGGGCCTGGGGAAGGGCAGGGGAGCTGTGTCCATGTCTCCTCCCTGTCCTCTGCCCTTCTCAGTCCCACCTTCTGAGCCCTGCCATCCTAGCAGGTGGTGCCCTGAAGTGTGCCACCCAGGGGACCCTCCAGGTCCATTCCTCCTGGCAGTGAGGAGGACTGAGCCTTCCATCACCAGCCCAGGCCCATGCTGCAGAAGATTCTCAAACACCTTCCTGTCCTCTGTGCAACCCACGCTAGCCCCAAGCCACAGCTATGCAATGGAGGGCGCAGGTGCCCTCCACAGCCCCCATTCCTGGGACCTTCACCTCCTCTCCCGGCTTTCCCCCCGCTGCAACACTGCTCCCTGTGGGGAGGCTGCCTGGTGACATCCTGCTGGCTTCCACCCACTGAGCGGAACTTTCTCTCCACTGTGCTCAGCTCTGCCCCTTCCTGGCATCCTTAAAATAAAGAAAAAGCCTTGCCTTTTGTCATGCTCTCATGAGATGAGTGTGTTTGTACTGTCTAGGGACATTTTGGAATCTGGATTTGGGTATCCCTGTGGAGGCAAGTGGGATGGGACAGAAGGTCCTGTCACCCACACTGAGTCCCAGGGGGTTCCTGTCAAAGGACACAGGGGTCCTGGAGAAAGCGCCTGGGGTGCACACACTGCTGGCATGGGCTTCTAAATTATGAGGACAATTGGGAGCTGGGTGAGCAGGCAAACATCTCCATTCTAGTGAGAGGAGAAAATTCTGGGACACAGTTGGTGGGAGTCATAAGAGGGTCAAGAAGCCCGGGGCCTGTAGAAGAGGGTGGGTGGGGTGGGGTGGGGTGACTCTGCACCCCAGGGGTTCATTAGGAATGTAAGCCATCACATGCTCTGTGCACTGCCTGTTCTAAGCACTGTTATTCCTGTTGCGGCTCTGCCAGCGTAGTGCTGTTGTCACAGTTTTACACAGAGCAAAGAAACGGACACATGCAAGTTAAGTCATTTTCTCAAGACCCCCAGCTAGTAGCACTGTCCTGAAATGTGCAGCCTAAAGCCCCAGACTTTGGGTTTGCAATGGCTCAGCAGAACTGGCCATGCCTCTCAAGCACACAAGGTCCAGGGTTCAATCCTAGCGCTGTGAACAGAACAGAATGTAGAAGCCTGGGCAGCTGGGCAGCAGGGGAGGAAGGGGAACAGGCACCCGGAGGACGCCCTCACTGCGTGGCGGAAGCTGCAGAGTCCGGAAGGATACACGGCCTGACAGCACCTGCAGCAGTGGCTGTGAGCACTCAGCACGCAGGGAAAGCACATAGCAGGGTATGTGCTGTCCCCTGGGGTCTCACTCTGCGCTTCCAGGAACAGCTGGGCGGTCCTCAGGAAGGGGAGCTTCCCAGTGACTGTGGTGACCCCATGACTTCCACTCTCGTGTTGCGTGGATGGCAGATTCTGACCCCATCCCCTGTGGAAGCAGTTTGAAGCTCGGGGTCTCCTTGCTTCTGTGGTCGGGGCCGGGAGGCAGAGCTGCCAGAGACTCCTGCTGCTGTAGGCCACTGCCTGCTCCTCAGCCGTGATTCCCACACTGCTGCTGAGTCTAGTTTTTCAGTCAACCATTTATTACATTTCAAGGTATTTCAATCTTTGCACTCCATATAGTTTTACTTATTTCATCTGCTTCTTTAAGTGAAGCTGTACTTTAAAATATTTATTTTGTACTAGGGTCACACCTCATAGTACTGTTGTAAACAAGCTTCCCAAATATTGCTTTCAACCCTTGACTTAAAAAAGAACATTTCTTTTTTGAAGATGCCATGAGATCATTCTTTCATATCAATGTCTGTGAGCACCAGGCTGAAGGCCTTGATTTGAATAACATTTTCTGGATGGTTACTGTTGTGCACTATTTGCATTTCTGGAACCTGGAGATTTGAGAAAGTCCTGGTGTATTTCCAGAAATTTCTTTCCCCACCAGCCCCTCCTGAGAGTCTGTCACAGGCCCTTCTTTAAGCAATCATCCCTCTCCCTGAAGACTGAGATCCACCGTTCAACATCTCTCCTTTCAGCATAACTAGAGGATCTTGAATCTAGAGCAGGCATCCAACTGGAGTTTCTCTTTGTTCATTAAAACAAAAAGTGGCTGCCCTGATGCCTAGGTCTGTGGTCTCGGCACCTGGGAACCCAGCTCTGGAGCTCGCGATGTCAGCTGTCTCAATGGGGGTTTTACCAGGACTGTCCCCACCTCCACCCACCACAACTCTTGTCGTTTATTTCAGGGACACACACACACACACACACACATACACACACACCAGAATCTTCAGATGGGACTGATTGTGGGGACTGGATTATTGTGCTTGGGACAGGTTTTTGACAGCAGACAGCTGACCAAGAGTTTGCTGAGTCCTGGGTGCAAATCGTGCTGCACTTTATCAGGGGACGGATGCTTTCAAACCTGACATTGTCCAGTCCTGTGGCAGTTCTTCGTCACAGACAACATGAAGTCTGGAGCACAATTCACATCCCAAGAAGGCCCCTTCCTCAGCTGACTCCAGTGCACCTGTCCCTGGCTGGGTCCTGAGCGCAGTGTCCTTCCTCTGCCTCCTGGCGTCTAGGCTCAGCTCTTTGCCCAGTGCGTGGTCTTTGCCAGGAGAATGTGTGATCCTTGCCTTCACTCCCAACCTCTTGTGGTTCCTGCTGGTGCTGAGGAGATTATCCGACTCCCCCACATGGAGCAGGAGGCTTCAGATGGGCTTGGCTCATTGCTGCTGTTTCATTCCTGCAGACTCTCTCTGTAGACAGTTTGGCTCCTGTCGGAGAGGGAGCACTGGTCCAAGATTCTTCCAGAAGCTGACTTTTCTGTTGGGCTCAGAAGCTGAGATGCTGGAAGGCCTGGGAGGATCAAATCAAGGCTTCCCCCTTGTATGGTCCCTGAGAAAGACACTAACTGTATCCTCCTGTGGCCACCTATTTTGGTAAATTAAGATGTTCATCTTTATGATTCACCCTGAATTTGTAATCCTTAAGGCCAGGAAAACGTAGATCCATGTGGTAGCTTGTTACAAATCCAGATGTCCATCCCCACCCACAGAACAAAAATCGTGCAAGATTCTTGCCTCACTATCTTTTAGGACATGATCTGAGCAAATATTTTTCTTATCCTCAGTTGGCACATTTGCTTTGGGGTCCTTTCGGGAATCACGGGGCGTTGGCACCTGCTGATAGCTACCTCTCCTATTTCCTGTAAATCAGCCAACGTCTGTAGGAGGGTCCTGAGTTCTCTCAATGATACCAGTCCCGCTCTCTGGTCTGGGCTGATAGGAGCTGGGCAGAGAGAGGGTAGATGTGGCAGCCTCTGCAGCCTGAGCCAGGCCCTCTCTCTTGTCCCTACTTTGCCCTCTACAGGGACTTCAATGCTATAACACCACTGGCCAACCTGACCAAACAGGGGACACCAGGGTGAAAGCCTTCCTAATGGGGCCTGGAGGACAAGGTACTGACCCGAGAGCTGGCCCTGGAGTAGCACCCCTCACCTGCTCAGCATAAACTGCTTCCTGTAGAGGCCCAGCTCCCGCTCTCCACTGCCCTCCTGCCTACCACCCTGTAAATGAGCACAAAACTCCATCTGCTGCCATTTCAAAGGGAAATCTGTAGTGTGGCTGCTAAGGTCCTTTGTGTGGCACTTCGTGTGGCTGGTGGTACAACCCTGACCATACTAGGACTTGGGCTGTTGTCCCTGCCACACCCATCACACACACACACACACACACACACACACACACACACACACACACATTATAGTGACAATGAAATGCATTTTATATAAACTTTTTCATGAAGGACACATTCAGGGAAGACTCAGTTTCCCTTGGGAGCAGACACGGGTGTTCTTATAGAGAAGCACGAATATTGTATGCGGAGCCCAGAAATTGCAGTGGCTCGGGATCACCCCTGGTGGCCACTCAGAATGCAGCAGAGGGTGTTTGCTTGTTCCTGTCAGGCCTAGCATTGCAGTCATCTCCAAAGAGCCTAGTATACGTGTGTGCGCGCGCGCGCGTGCGCGCGCGCGTGTGTGTGTGTGTGTGTGTGTGTGTGTTCAGAGATGCAGGTCTCTCCATCTAGTCCAGGGTATCACTTGTTAGCTGACATAAAATATGTCTGACAAAACTGACCAGTCAATCCTTTTCAGCATACAATTCCGCGGGCATTTTACGCATTTACGCTGCTATCTCAACCTCCGCCCATCCAGCTTCCTCAAATGGTTTTCTGTATCCACCAAACACACCCTCCTTCCCTCTGCCCTGGAAATGACCAGTCTTAACATCATGAACCAATGCAATTTCAATATCATTTTTATGATACTTCCATTCTATTTATTTTTATATTTCTCTTCTGAATAGAAGAAAGGATGTTTATTTTCACCTAATGGCAGAGAATCAAAAATAATGCGACTTGTTTGGCCCCCAGGGTCTTACTCTGACACCTAGCTTGGTCCTCCCACGATGCTGGTCAGTGCAGACACCCGCAGGTCCCAGCCCACTGAAATCACAAGCAACTACAGAGTCCTGCTGTGTGCTGTGTCGCCAAGGGTCATGCTCACCGGGCCAGGCACATTCATTGCCTGTTTAATGTGCTCACATTTCAGCTCATGATGGGTTCCGTGGGCTATAACCCTCAGAGGTGTGAGGGCTCCCACTGTGGGTTGATTCTGGAAAGGGAAAGGCAGGTCCTATCTGTTGTTCCCTGAGGCTGCCTGGAATAGCGTGGGTGGGTGAGAATACGTCAGTGAACACAGTGTCTTAATCTAGTCCTCCCTGGACCTAGTTATAATTCAGGGCCTCAGGCTGAGATTGGAGCCCAGAAGGACAGCGCTGGCCTCACTTGCACAAGGTCCTGGTTTGAATAACAGCACTGAACACAAGATGGAACTCAACACCAGGTGCTTTAAGCATTGCAGCCAAAGGAAGAATGGACACCAAAAGGCTGACAGGATCCAAACCTCAACCCCTCACTGCATGGCTGGCAGGAGCTGCAGGGCGTCCATGAGGAGAGAGGCCTTGCTCCCCTCGGTGTCCTAAGCACTTGGCATGCAGTGAACGCACAGAGCCCGATGTCTGCTGTCCCAGGATCTGACTGCACTCGAGCAGTGGCAGCCCAGTTACCCAGAAGGGGAGCTGTGCTCAGACTTTGCGCTCCAGTGACTTCCTTCTCTGCCGCACAGTGCAGTTGGGTCATCAAGGACCACAGCCTGTGGGTGGCCTGTGACCCTGCAGTTTACAGCATGGTTGTTGAACTCTACCTCCACCCATTTTAAAAATGGTTTTTGGCTATGTTCCTCACTTTGGTGGTTTCTGGGCTGGAGCCCAAGCTGCAGGAGAAGCATCCTGTAGGCTGCTGCCTGTTCATCCCCGAGAACCAGCCAGTGGCTGCTGCCTTCCATTCCACACGCAGTGGGTGACAGTCCTGGGAGAGGAAGGAGGTGCCTGTGCCAGGGTTCTGTACCTGACCCCCTCCCTACT